GGTGGGGGGCCACCCTGGGCAATGTGGTGAGGAGAAGCAGGGTGAGTCTGGGAGCAGATGGGGATCCCATGTGTCTGTCACTGAGGAGGGAAGAGACGTTGATGACCCTGCAGGGTCTGGTCTGGGGTGGGTAGGTAGGTGCCATTGGTGAGACAGCCCAGGGAAGGAGCATAGGTGACAAGTGTGCTCCTAATAGATGAACCTTTCTATCCAGCCCCAGACCTTTCTAGACCAGCATGGTGCTCAGCACAGAGTAGGAAGCCAGCCAACAAGTGAACTGCCCTTGTCACCCTGTGATTTTCTGCCACCACCACCATGGGCTGCTGGCACTAAAGGCAGAGAACCCTCCAGCCCAGGGTTCCTCCCTGACTGGGAGCCCCATGGTCCTGGCCCGTGCTCTGTCCCTGTCCTTCCCCCAGCACAGAAGCCCTACTGTCACCCAACAATGAAAAATCCTACAATTGCTTTTGTATCCTCTGCCTGCTTCCTTCAGGTCTGCCTGCTTCGTTCTAACAGTCCCAGGCATGCGTGGTTAATCCCAGGCCCCGTGGTGACATGAGGACATTTTGGCAATATTTTTTTTTCTGTGAACAGGCAGTTCCTAAAATTACACAGCATGAGTGACCTGCTCTGCCCCTCCTGGCTTGCTGTGTGCTGTGTCCTCATGGTCCAGCTTTGCCCTCTGCAGGGTTTTTTTGGATTTTTTTTTTCTTGGTACTGAGAATTGAACCTAGAAGTGCTCTACCATAGAGGAACTCAACCAGCCCTTTTTATTTTATTTTAAGATGGTCTTGCTAAATTGCCCAGGCTGCCATATCCCCACCTCAGACTCCTGAGTAGCTGGAATTACAGGCTGGTGCAGCCACACCCAGCACTGGAGGTTTTCTGGGTCACTCATTGGCCATAGGCCATGGCTTTTTAAAAGGCAGCTAATACTCCACAGAAAACCAGCCCAGTTTCCTTAAGGAGCCAAACACTGTTGAATCAACTCTATGTAAATGGCTATTGAAACTGTTCAATGAGTTCCCTGAGCCTAGCGGTTCTCCTCTGGGTACCTCTTCCACTGACTTAGACAGTTTCCAGATGGCTGAGTGACAGCCATGAGCCACTGGTCCGAGCATCTTGCTGGAGGCGTACTGGCAGAAGGTTGTCCCCCTAGTACTAACAGGGAAATTTTGCCCACATGAAAGGAACCACAGAGATATCTTTATCAGGTGCCCTGATTTATAGATGAAGAAATGGAGGTTTAGACAGGCCGGGTATGACATGGCTTGTGGGGCCACAGCAGAACTAGATGCAGGCCTGCTAACTTCTACCCTCTGTGACACCCTCTGGGGACCCATTCCAACATTTAGCAATTTTACTTCTGTCCAGAGGAAAGGTGTTTTTCTGAAGAGCTGGCCAAGTCCCAAGTAGGAGATTCCCACAAAGGACCTGAAACCCTTCCACTCCCTGTGGCTAATCACACGTTGTTTTCCCTTCAGAAGCCACAGATGAAGCACTCCGGGGAGGGGTGGAGGCCCCATGGACTCAGACTCATGTCCTGATTTCCTCTGGACAAACGAATTACATGCTGTTTTCTAGGCCTTGATCAGGGTAGCATGTCCCTCCAGATGCCCCCCAGACTCTGCCCCATGGCTGGGGACCCAGCTGTCACCTGGTAGGCCTGGGGGTTCAGCCTGCTTTGCAAATTCTCAAGTGCTCTGATAAAGGACAGAGCTCCACAAATGGAACCAACTGTGCTCCTCTCCTGGGGCTGCATCTCTCCTGGCCCCCACCTCTCCTCCTGGGAGCCCAGGCTTTGTTTTGTTGGTGGAAAATCCTGCTCCTCATTATCACACATCATACCCAAAGATGGAGGGAAAGGATACCATTAAATCCCAAATAAATACCAACAGCATTCCAGGCAAATGCTCCCAGCCCAGGGGTCCAGAGCCTCAAGACACCAAGTCCCCAACATGACCAGGGAGCCTGGTGTGTTCTATGAGACCCAGCACAGCGCCACCTTCTGGGAAGAAATGGAAGGAACACCTAGGTCCCCTATTAATTATGAAAACTAGGCGGCAGTTCTTAAGGGGACCATTGGAAACTTTATAAAGTATTCATGCCTGGGTCCCCCTCTTGGACATACTGATTGGCCCAGGTCATGGCCTTGGTTTTTCACAGGTGATTGTGCAGCCAGGAATAGGAGGACATAGAGAAGGAGACCATCTAGTCCAGGGTTCATTATGAGGTACAAGAATGGACTACAGACATGAATCTGAGAATTGTTCTATGTAAATGATCATTTCTCTAGACAAAGGATCCACAGATTCACAGTGGGTTCCATGTACCCCAATACATTAATTGTCCCAGGCCATCCCAAGCATACCCTTTTGGTGGTCCCAGATTCAGATGCTCAGCCCACACTCTGGTTTGGAAGAGATGGGGTTAACTAGATTAATGGGAAATGGATAATGTATATATATCTATAAAGGGACTGTACCCATTAAAAGCCATGTTTCTCATCTTTTCTGCTGGAGTGAGATCAACTCAGCATGGTCATGTTGACTATCTCATGCTGTTCAGAATCTCTTCCTGGCACTATGATATGCCTTTGATTAATAAAAAATGAGAAATGAATTATTGCTTAATTAATGCACTATGTTTGGTAGGCAAAAGCCCTCAAAACATAATGTCCTTGGGAAAAAGTAATCAAAGGGGTCCTTAGTGGTTATAGATTGTGAACCACTGATCTAATTAATATAACTCCCTCATTTGAGAGATGAAGAAACTGAGGACCAGAGAGGTTAAGGAACTCTCTTTAGGTCGCAAATTATACAAAGTTGACAGCTTCACCCAAGCCTTCCAGATATGCTCTAGGTGACCAAAGGCATTATACGTGGGATAGTTTAGTCATGGAGGTTAACCAATGGGACTTTCCATTGGTCATTCTCATCCATTGTTCAAGTCCATTGACCCAGACTCAGAAAATCCTTCTCTTGTCATGGAGATTGTGTGGACCAAGATAACCCACACCCACAACAAATTTAAAAATCCCATCGTAATCCCAGGATTTCATTGACTCTAGGATGTCAACAATTGTAAGATGCACCATTGTTTTTTGAACCACTAAGAAAAAGTGCTGCCAAGTATAATTGTAAGATACCATAAATCATAAGATGCATCCCAATTTTAGAGAGAAAAAAAAATGTGCATCATAGAATGGAAGAAATGGAGTCGTATAGCTGCAGCCCTTGTATAATGTCCTTCCACCAAGTTCTCTTACCTGGTGAAGGTGCCAAGGAGATTAAATGGCACTTGGAAGAAATTGCATCTATTTAAAAAGCACAAGTGTAAGAACAGGCCCTCCCACTCCACAGGATCCCAGGACAAAGTCCTGAATTTGCCCTCGGAAGACTTGGCTTTAGATTTCAGTTCTGAACTGCTCCCTAATGGTGCTATCCTGGGAATGTTCTTATTATTTGCAAGCCTCAGTTTCTTCATCTGCAAAACAGAGATAATATACCCTTCCTCATCCTCACAGAGCAACTGGGATGCTCAGGAGAGAAAAAGGCAGAGCTGTGAAAATTGAGCTGCGTAGGTGCCTAGACCACTCAGCTGAGGTCTGTGACCATCCAGAACAGAAAGTGGGGAAATGACGGGGGGGTGGGGGGGGGGCACGGGGTACAGAGAGTCACTCTGGGCACCTGGGGAACCCTACACAGGGATAGGTACTGAGGAGTGGATGGAGCAGGGAGAAAGCCATTTCTTTCCACACCCAGGACCCCTTGAGGAAGAACCACTCCTCATCAGAGGAAACGGACTCATCCTTAGATAGAGGACAAGGAGCCCAAGGAGGAGTCCACCTTCCCAGGAACAGATGGTAGAGATAACCAGAGATCTCAGGGGTCCTGGACCAACACCCTAAAATGCCACATCTGGCACCTGAGAACACTCATGCCTGTACACGTGTGTGCAAATGCACACCCATCTGCTCTGCTGGCTGTGACACAGAACTGGTTATTCAGCCTCTTTAATCAGGCAAGTTGAGCCGCCCCAGCGGTATTCCCAGGTGCTCCTTCTGAGGAGGCAACTCCCAGACCTCCACATTGGCAGTGTCCTTTCCCTGCCCCCTTCTCGAGACCAAAAGGAAATGAGACAGTTGCAAAGAAATCTCTCCTCCTCCTGAGAGGAGTGCGTGGAGCATGATGGCCTTCCCAGGCTGGAGGCGGTGTGATGGAGTGGGCAGGCCCTGGCTGTGTGCTCATCCTGGCTCTGCCCCTACCTAGAGGTGACCCCAGTCCATTTGCCTTTCCTCTGTGGTCCTGTTTCTTTAGGGACAAGTGGCCCAGCTGTAGGAACTGAACTGGAAGGCAATGTTTATAAGTGCCCCAAGGGGACATGTGGACAAGAGCAGAGGCGCACCATGAGGGGAAGAAAGCTCAGGGTGAGAGTGATGGGGAGGAGCAGCTCTGGGACTTTCTGATCCTTCCCACAGTTCTCCTGCCTCATGATAGGAGCAAAATCTGCATCAGACTAAGAAGCATGGAATTGGGGGTCACACTGGGATTCAGAATCTGCCTCTACACCCCACAAGTCTCTAATCTCTCTACCCTCCATTCCCTATCTATAAAACCTGGCACCCAAACTATTCTCTCAGGCTCTTTGGAGGCTAAGTAAGATGGTGCCTTCAAAGCATATTATATGTTTTAGATGCTCCACTCTTGATATCATACTAGTATTATAGGCATCGGGACAATGATTCCATTTGTTTTAGATGCCCCGTATGTATATTATTTAGTTTAAAGGTCACAGTAGGGCTATTATTAATTTAGATGCTACAGTATGACTTTATATTAACATAAAAGGTCACAGGAATCTATTATCAGTTTAAGATCATATAATATGAACATCATATTCATATTTTATTATGCAGTGGGTATGTGGTGGGCACTAGATTAAGGCCTTCTGCCCCCGGGGACCCTGCCACCACCCGCTCTCACCCGAGTCCCCCACAGGTGGGCGGGGCGGCGGTCATGGCCGTGGGCGTGTGGACCCTGGTGGAGAAGAGCGGCTACCTCAGCGTCCTGGCCTCCAGCACCTTCGCCACCTCCGCCTACATCCTCATCTTCGCGGGCGCCCTGGTCGTGGTGACCGGCTTCCTGGGCTTCGGCGCCATCATCCGGGAGCAGCAGAGCTGCCTGTCCACGGTGAGTGCCTGGGCTGGGGACAGGTCCTGCGCTGCCACGCCCCCCTGTGACAGTGGCCTCAGCCCTGGATGAGAAAGGTGCTGGGGCCGGAAGGACCAGGGACAGGGAGGCCCTCCAGGGTCCGGGTCGCCACGTTCGCCTGGGTCCTAGGACCCCCGTGGCAGCCGTGCTGCGGCCTTCTGCGTCTGCTCCCCGTTCCCCTCCTCCTCCCCCCTTCCTTTCCCGCTTCCTCTTCTTCCTCCTCCTCTTCCCCTTCCTCCTTCTTTCCCTTTTCTCCTCCTCTATTTCCCCTTCTCCTTCTCTTCCTCTCCCTCTTCCCTCTTTTTCCTCCTCCTCCTTTGGAAAGATAAGGAGTATGCTCATAGAACTCCATGATCCTCACCGGGTCACCGGTTGTCCTCACTAGCTGACCTCCTCTCCCGTGCACCATGACTGCCCTCTCCTCTGCCCCGGTGGCATTTTGAAGGCACCCCATCATGTCATCTGCACATATTTAATCTCAAACTTAAGGATCCTTATTTTTTTTAGGAGGCATAACAATATTACTGTTATCATATCTTAAAACAATTCATTCTTCAATATCATGAAATAACTAGACGGTTTCAGATTACCCCAACTGACCGGGAATCTTTTCTTTCTTTTTAAGTTTGAGTCACATCTAAACTAGGTCCATGTGTTAAAACTGGTTGATTTGCTTCCTAAGTCTCTTTCCGTCTCTGGGCTCCACCATCAATTTCAATCTCTGTCTCTCTCAATCTATGGGTTGAAGGAATGAGGTCGTTTGTCCTGTAAAGTTTCTGGATTTTCCGGTTACATCCCTGTGATGTTGTTTTACATGTTCTCCATCCATGAGCTCAATCAGGTCTAATTAATTTGGTTGTGTGGCTGGGGTGCTTCATGGCTACTGTTTATAGGCTCTGTGGGCTCCTTGACACACTTCTCCTGGGAAGCTGGGAAGAATATCCACACCTGCTCAGAGTCAGGAAAAAGGGCCAGGTGGGGAACTTGCAGGAGAGCCAGAGGCCTGGAGTCCAACTCAGGACTCGGGCGGACCCAGCTCCTTGGCACCCTTGAACTGCTTGGCAGTGGCTGGCTCCTGTGGCCCAGGAGGATCTCTGGTCGGGGATCCTCCTCACCCTACAGCTCCTCCTGGGGCCAAGACCAATGTGCAGAGGAGGAAAGGACAAGGAGGCTGAAAAACCGTCTGAATGAGCAAGGAACTGGCCCAGGTCTCAAAGAGAAACCAGGCCTCAGGAAGGGGCCTGGAGGGCCCTTGCGGTCCCCACGCCTGCTACCCAGAGTCCACTGTGGACTTTGCAACTCTGTCTTGCACATGGTTCTGGGGAGTCAGCAGGGGAGGGGTGCTACCCGGGAGCCTGAGGGTGGGCCTGCAGCCTCTCTCACCAGCAGCGACCTAGTTTCTCGCCCTGGATATAAAAGCTGCTGCATGCACACCCAGCTGGATGGCTCGCCCCTGTTTTGAAGAATTCCTTCATTTTATTCTGAGGAATAGCCCAGAGCCAGGGTGCTGGCAGGTGCACAGTGAAGTGCTGTAGGGGGTGAAACCCTACAGTACACCGGCCTCCAAGATGTGGGTTTTGAGGTCCTTTCAGCAGTGGAGACAGGGTGCTTTGAGCCAGCCTGGGTCTCCCTCACATGGCCTGGAGTGAGTACAGTTGTCCTTTGGTATTGCTGGGGGATGTTTCCAGGACCCCCATGGAATCTGCAGATGCTCAAAGCCCTTATATACATAAAACGGTGTAGGCAGTGGGAGAAAATACCAAGCATTTAAATTGACAACACATGCTGCCAGTGAGGGGCGTGCTGTCCATCTCCCAAGACCATGTGACCTACCACACCTCCTGGCCTCCAGAGAGGTATTTTCACCCCACTTTACAGATGAGGAGATGAGGCTCAGAGATGCAGATCTGGACTAAAAACCCAGTCTTCAGAATCCCCTCCAAGCATGCACTTGCCCTGGGGATACCCATGGAAGATGGAGGCACGGGAGCTGAGTGGGGAGGATGTAAATGTCAGCACACAGCGCTCCCCATCCTGTGGAGGGCAGTGCAGATCTGGGGCACCCAGAGATCTGGTTGGATACAGAGGAGAACTTGGGACAGGGCCCAGCCCCAGAGGTAGGGGGAGACCAGAAGCCTGGCAGTAGGACCTGGACACCTGAATATCCATGGGCTTCCTTGCCTCCATTAGAGTGAGGAGGTAACAGCACACCAGGGTCACAGCTGGCTCAGTGTAGAGGGCCATGGAGTCCAACACCCACCCAGAGATTCCAGGCTGCAGGACCCTGCAGGGTGAGCTTGCCCGGCACTACCAGGGCCTACTCCAAACTACTGGCTTTTGTGAGAAGGCTCATCATAATAGCCCTTTCCTTGGGCAGTCTCAGAGGTCAGGACAGCCGAGGGCTCAGCTCCTGCCCTTGCCCTGCTCCCCACACCTTCATGGCCCCTCCCTCCTCGCTCAGTTCTTACACAGTCCACCATCTGTCCAGCCATCCTGGCTGATCCATGATGAAAGTTGTCTCCAGCCTCCCTGGGCACAGCCTATCCCTTGGTCTGCATGGACTGTTCAGAGGGCACCAAGCTCTGTGCCCAGGGCAGTGCAGGAAAGATGAGGACGTAGAGGAAGGTCAGGGCCTATGTTTGTCCTTAGCTCACCTTCTGAACTCAAGGGTTGAAAAATGGAGAGAACTATGCCATCCCTCTGTGGCTTGAGGCAGGACTGGGGCACAGTGGCTGTTGGACAATCTGGTTTGAGATACTTCCTTCTTAGTTCTGCTTCTTCTGAAGAGATATGCCTGTGTCCATGCACACCCCACCCAGCACGGATGACCTCTCTGGCTCAGTGTCACTGAACATCCATATGAGGAAGCACCAGCTTGAAACTGAGGTCAAGAACAAGATAGAAGACACAGTGACAAACCCACATAAATACAGTCATCTCATCCTAGACCAAGATGCCATGAACATTCATCGGAGAAAAGATAGCCTCTTCAACAAATGGTGCTGGGAAAACTGGAAACCCATATGTAGCAAAATGAAATTAAATCCCTATCTCTCACCCTGCACAAAACTCATCTCAAAGTGGATCAAAGACCTAGGCATTAGATCCAGAGACCCTGCGCCTAATAGAAGAAATATATAGGCCCAACTCTCCATCATGTTGGCTTAGGAACCAAATTTCCTCAACAAGACTCCTAAAGTGCAAGAAGTAAAATCAAGAATCAATAAATGGGATGATATCAAACTAAAAAGCTTTTTTTACAGCAAAGGAAATATCAAGAACATGAAGAGAGAGCCTTCCAAATGGAAGAAAATGTTTACCATCTGCACCTCAGATAGGACATTAATCTTCAGGAATAAGTGTGTGTGTGTGTGTGTGTGTGTGTGTGTGTACACACACATGTGCATACACACATACACACACACACACACACACACACACACACACACACAGGCACTTGTATAGGACAGTGGGATCAGGCATCTCCGGCAACAAGCTAATAAACAGCACACCCCACAGCCTAGAACCTTCTTTCTCTGCTTTGCCTCCCATCCCCCACCCCCAAAGAAGCAGTGACACAGCTGGTCCAAGGACAGACAAAGGGGCAAGCAGAAGGTCCTGAGTAAGCCACATCCTGGCCCCATCCCCAGCAATGAATTATTGGGCTCTGGATTGTTTAAACAGAGAAAGTCCCCGTCGGCCACTCGTGGGCTAACACAAATAGAATTTCTTAGAACCCAGGCTCCTGTTTAGACCAAGCAATGTGGTTCCTGGAGGCTCCTTCTTGGTTTCATCTCCTCCCCCACGTCAAACTCCTTTTGAAATCTTTAATCGGTAGAAGGCTGAGGGAAACTGAAAGGGAGAAGCAGGGCGTCCGGCTCTACACAAAGTGATCCCCAAAGAGAAAAGGGACAGATGAAAAGACTGGGCATCCGAATGATGGGCATCCAACTTGGAAGGGGAGGAGGGGGAGGACTAGCATCTCAAGTTCACAGGGAGGGGCTGTCCAGCCCACATGCAGGCACACTGTCTGTCCCAGGCTGAGCCCTTCATCCTAGGACAACTGCAGCCCATCAAAGTCACTTTCTAAGAAGGAGATGCTCATCAGGGATGTGAATAGTGCGTCTCTGAGGGTACTGAAACCATCGGCTTAGCATTGGAAATCTGCAGAAGGGGAAAGGGAATGGGCTTTAAATTATTCACACCAGCTCTTCATTTTTAGCTAAGACTACACAAGAGGGACAGATAATTCAGGCCATCTGAGCCTAAGGCCAATGACCAGGACCGATGCCACCAAGATCAAAAGAGGAGGCTATTTTTAGAGTCTGGGTTCTGCAAACTTTTATATCGTCAGTACAGTGAAGATCAAGATGGATGGCTCAGACTGAACTGGGTCTTCATCAGGAGCTCTTATATTTTTAGGGGATGAAGGAAAAAGTAAAAAGTTCTAGAAACCAATTTCTAAAAATGAGGGGACCCAGAATGGCAAAGCTTCCATCCAGGATGCCAAGATTTGGTGAGCCAGGGAGTCAGGTCTCCAATCCAGGGCAATGATATCCAGGCTGGGGCTCAAAAGCAGATTTTATTGTTATTTACCCAAGTTTCTCTGTGACCCTGGGTAGGCAGGCCACTCAGCCTGTCCTTGCTACCTTGGAATTTCCATCTTTCTATGGGATGAGGTGTGAGGATAATGAAAAAGCATTTTAAGGTCTTAGGAAACGAGTCACCACATTATATAAAGATCATAAAAGGGTAGCTCTAATTAACATTTACATCACCATCACCATGACCAACCTCCTTTGAGAAGAAACCTAAATAGGCAGAGTTATTCTTAGGGCCATTTCTCCCAGGATACCCACATCCTGGCCAAGGCCACACTCCCCAAAGAAGCTGGTGATGAGATGAAGTTTGGAGAGAGCCCGGTCCCTGTGCCCTGGGAGTTTGCATCCACCCAAAATCTCATTAGGTTGTCTTGTTCC